AGAGTTCAACCAAATAACTGTGATGAGAAGGAAGATACAAGAATTTTAAAAAAAAATCAAAGTAGCTCCACTTGACTGATGAAAATTCCTTTTTCCTTCTTTCGTCTTTCTTCTTTCGTTTCAGTTTATTCTTTAAATTGATAAATAAAAATTTTCCAATTTTTTCTTCAATTTTTTAAGCCGGAATTTATGCTGACGAAAGTAAAAGAAAAAAAAAGGAGACTGAAACAGCTGTTGAAAGTAATAATAATAACGCTACTAAGAATAATAACAAAAATTACTACAAAAAAATAATAATAACAATGATAATAACAATAATAAATTTATCTTAATCAATAGGATATGGTCAAGGAATAGGATAAGCAACAAAGACCATAATATTTATATAAGTGTATTATTTATTTATGCATATAATTATAAATTATATGTGCTCAACCACACTGCCCTTTCATCTTTAGTTTCTGCCCAAATTAGGGATATCCAAATTATTAAGCAATGTTCAATAGTTACTGTAAGAAAGAAAATTTACATTACATTATTATTTTCATGGCTTCTTTATATTTTTCCTTGACTAATTTTCAAAATGCCGCTGCTTTAACGTACCAAACAAAAATTTTTTTTTGATTAGATAAAAAAATTTCCCCAAAATTTTGGAAAAAACAAACATTTGTTATATTAGTGAGGGTTATAAATCTGCTGATTTATAAATTTCAATTTTCAAGCCTTTCTAGTTGAAAATGATGGTCGAAAAGGATAACCAGCCATAACCTGCGATACACTAGTGGAAAACCTATTAAGTTAGCTTGTTTTCTTCGCTGTGTTACTTTTTTACTTACTAATTCACTTTTGAAAACTTTTTTAAGTGTGAAAATACTATTCTCCGGCAATTTTTCTATACTTGCGAGAGAAAAGAAAATGTAGTTATTTCGGCCGGGCAAGGATTCAACGGAATATTTGAGGAGCCCAACGATAAATAATGGTCTGTATTAGCATAGTCTGCAAGCGCTGTAGACGCGGATACAGAATCTGAGTTTCCTACGAGCAGATCGTCTCACCAAAATTTAGTAACGTTTGTGAAGATTAGATCGCTCGTAACAAAGATTCAGAAATTGAGATTTTGCACGAAACAGGAGAACGACACCTACGTACAAAAAGGAAGAAAAAAACTGGAACGAAGAACACTTCATAAGCTCAGTGAATTGTAACCGACGATTTGCATGATGGTCCTGTGGAAGACTTCAGCGGTTCAAAACCAATCTGCTTTTGGGGCGAACTGCCATTTGTAGTGGAAAACTATTTGAGAAATGGGAGGAACGTGGATAGCAAGCAGATATCAACTAGCCCTTGTTCGGATTTGAAACGACTGCTTCGAAGCATTTGGAGAGAGAGTATTTTTACTGCAGGATAACGCCGGACTGCACCTTTTGAATACCGTGTGAAAAATTGAACGGCAAGCATATGAAGTTTTGTTGTTTTCACCTGACTCTCCAAAAATATATCCAACTGATTATCGCGCTTTTTTCTTTTGATAATTTTGCATGTTTATTCGTGAAGGAACTTGCATAATCAAAGGATAAGCAAAAACTGCCAACAGCAGCGTTCTGACCTTTTCCTTCGCGGGTCTATACGTTAGTGGAATGCCATAAATTGTATCACTTTAGCAACTTTATATGAAACCTTTCGATTCTTTCTTGGTTAACCAGTTTTCGACAAATTTGTGCTCTGCTGAAGTGAGAAACAAAGATTGCCAAAATCTTTATGCGTCAATTCAAAATATGTAAAATAAAAGAAAAAGGAAAAAAATTTGTGACGAGAAAAGTTCAAAAAAATTCACGGCAGTGTTTTTTCTCACCTTGATTTTGGCATTTTGCCAATGAAACACAAGAGTTTTTTTCACTATAGTTTTCGATTTCATTCAACAGCAAAACTGTAGAAATCGTGAAACTAGCAAAAGGTGAAAAAAAATTTCATAAAAGGAATTTTTTTTTTCGAAAATTTGAATCGGACCTATTTTTTTGCAGGAATATTAGAAATCTAGTTCTTCTAAGAATTGGTCAACTGATTAGCTTATCGAAATTTCGAGAAGTTTGAAAAATTTTTATAACAATACTCTGAACCACTACTTGTTTCTAAAAAACTGAAAACTAAAAGTTAAATTTAGCCAGAAGAAAATGAAGACATGAAGCTTGCAGACGAAGAGATAAAAATATCGTAATCAAGTTAAATTCAGTAACAGGAACCAGTAGCGACAGTATCAACATGACAGAATGTATTTTAAGCTCTGTTTTACAAGACCTAATGCCCAAACACATTGTCATAAACGATGATAATAATTGAAAGCTGCTGTTATACAACAGAAGCAATTATTACAATGATGGTAAAAATTTGACATTTTTAACTGTTAAGTGAAAGAGAAAAAGAAAAATTTATATTAAAAAATATGTAGAGGTTTTTTTTTTTAAATGATTAGTAAAAGTTCTTGAGTAAATTTGTCCAACTGGCCTATGAAAAGAAATTTGTGAGAAGCACAATTTTTTTCACTCTTAAAAACTATGTATTCAGCCTGAGAACGAATACGATGAGACACGCCGCGAAAATAGTGAAATGAAAGTGACTTTATAAATTTGGTAAACATCGATGATCCACAATGAGTATTTTAATACCAGGTTATTTTTGGTCTTCAATACTCTCAAAATGATTTTTATCTGTTTTTATACCAATTTTAAATACAAAAAGCTGTAGTTGCCTATTTTTCAATTGTTCCCAAATAATATATCTTGCGGTTAAAAAATAAACGCGAAATAAATTACATGAGGTTTAATGAGCGTAAACAGTTATGAATCAAACATTTCTGTATGCTGTGTTTGAGAGTTTAGGTAAATGAAACAAATGTTCAAATTGTAGTGGACCAGTTAATCCTATTCTAAATATGTTAACTGTAGATTATAAAAGACACCAAAATCATACCTACGTCAAAGTAGCTGTGAAAAGAACACATACCTTTTGGAAATTCTTCTGTTTTATCCAGTAGTGTATCATCCTATAAAATTGCAACGTATTAGCTTAGACGAAGAAGGATAAAGAAAGAAAAGTGCAAAAGAAGAAAAAGGCAAGAAACCATTATACAGACAAACAAAGTTTGTTCTTCTGCTGTACTGTATATTAGTTGACAACAACATTTTTGAGATAAAGAAAACTGTTCACAAATGCAGCAAAATCTCGACTGTAAAGATATTTTTTTCCACTTGTAAATTGTAAATTAAATTGGTAAACTGTAAGCTAAATCGCTAAAAGGTTTAAAAAAATATGGCAAGAAAGAAACCCTCTGAGATTAGTATCAATGATTTAATCTAACAAAATCCTTTTTTTCTTTTTTTTGGTTATAGTCTTTTCCACAACAGTTTCTAAACTGTTATAGCCTTTTTTCTTTTCAAATTTTTATTAATTTCATTAAATATTAACGAAACAGATGTTTTTTTTTTTTTTTTGAAAATATGTAAGTATAAAAAAAATTTCACTCACTGTTTTACGAGATTAGAAATTAACAAATGTCGAGAGAAAATACTGCTTACCAACAATAGATCAACAGAAGTTTAAACTGGCTAATTTGATGAATAGATACACTGTGCGCTATGTAGCGAACCTACTCAACGTAAAAAGAATTTGCTTAGCAATATGCCAACCTATCAATCTTTCGCTTCCTCCCTTCCTTTTTTTTTTATTTTTCTAAAAAGGTAATCTTCTAATAACAGAGAAAACCTAGATGTTTACGCTAATATTAGTAATTTAAGATCGGTAAAATGTTGAAATGTTTTTGCTGTCAAATTCGAAAAGAAAATTAAAGTCTGTTTATTGGATTAAGCGAAAATCGTAAAAAAAGGTTGATAATAATTTAGAACAGCAATAGAGAAAAGAAAAAAAAGTTTTTACTTATTCTTAGAACAAAAAATTGCTAACATTAATGGATAAAATTTTTTGTTAAATTTTTCAAAATAAAACATTCCTTTTAGGCTAGCAAAAGTTAAAAATGTTTTAACAATTAGCTCACTACTAATTTCCATTCCCAACCACCAATTAAATTTTCACAACATATTGTTTTTTCTATCCCACAAGTTGCCAGTCGTGGTAGCATTATTAACTTATTCGGTAAGACAGAAAAACTAAAAAATCAAATTCCTTATTCATTTTATTCACAGTTTATATGAATAACGAAAATTTTAGAAATATATTAGAAAAAACGGAGGAGGGGACAAAGAAATGACAGAACTTTAGAATGTTTAACAATTTAATTTACCTAATATCTTTGGTGTACAAATTTCCAGTAGAATTTATGTCGCATATAAGTGCTATAAGTTTGCTAGGTTTTTCATTCAATGTCTCCTCTTCTTTTTTGGTTTCAGCTTCAAAAAACCCCTAATAATATGAAATAAGACAGAAAAAAGCAACACTTCTATCAAGTAACGCACACGTTATAAGTAAAGCAAATAAATGCAATCAGAACAATTGCAGTTCCTCACCCTCCTCCTCCCGACTCTTTCTTCATTCCCTACCCCCTCCTTTCCTTTTCTATAATGCGCTACAAAATTCTTTGAATTTCTTTAAAAAGCATTCCAAGTATTTTGGCGGCACCAATAAATTACTGCATCAATGGAGATTTTGCCGTTGTTATTTAAGCAGTTCTATTAAGAAAAAAAGTTAAAGCATTAAACAAATGGCCTACTATTACCACTGTTGTGGTGTTGCCAACACTCGTTTGGGTGTCATTTTCAATAATAACTGTTCCGTCGTCACTGCCAACATCTGATCCTTCTAAATCACACAACAATAATTGTCTTTTTTTCTCTCACAATTTATATACTTAAAAAGACTGAAAAATTCAGAAAAAAAGACATGTCATTATTGATACAAATAAAAATAATGGAATTTGTTTTTCTAGTTTTATTTCCTCAAAAATCAGTTTTAATCAGGTTCTGCTCCTACAAATTTAATATTATTTCAGCTTACTGATTTGACAGGGAAAACCGTAATGTAGGACTCAAAACAGGCATACCATTATAAGTGATTTCTTCGTCATCGTCTTCGCACATTGAATTCCTCAACGATGTAAGCTGTTCTTCATACCACTTACTAACATCTGGCTCTTTACTCAATTCTTTAACCGACTTTATACTGTAATCACTTTCTGCATCTGACATGTGCTTGTTTGCATGTTCCGGTGCGTCTTCCAGATCATCGTACAGCAGTGAAGACTCTGAACGTAATATTTGGCTATCCAATATATTCTCAGCTCTGCTTCTTTCATAATCTAAATCCAAGTTGTTCTGCTGAGATAGTCCTGAAGTTCCTTTACTTGCTGCATCGACTAGCCTTTCAACATCTTGTTTGTTGTAGTTGAAATTTGAAGATGTAGCTGAATAATGGCTATAAAGTTCTGCTTGCGCCATCTCGTTAACTTTGTTTATGTGCTCTAACTCTTCTGCAGTCAGCCCATAATCAGTCAGAGAAACCCTGGTTTTTAAATCGTTTAGTTGAGACGTTTTAAAGTCATTATCCCTCCCATCACCTCCACGTACCAGATAAGATGTTAAATTGCCTGTAGCGTTGCTAATCGTACTACCAATTTTTTCGAAACCTTTACCAAATATTTCTTTGCGTTGGAATGTTTCCAAATTCTTTTCATTAAATTCTTTATCTGGCATTCTATCTTTGCTTAATTTGGCAGGACCAGCAGAGTTTTGGTTTTGGAAGCTCATTAAATCATTTTCAGCCATTTCGGTTACGCGTCTTATATGATTTAATTCTTCTTCTGTCAGTTCACCTTGAACATGGCTTTTCAATTTTGTTAGTTGAGAGGGCAGTGACTTACTAGAGTTACTAATTAGTGGCTGAACATTTTTACTTGTCTCATTTGACTGTTTTACAGCTTTCAGTGCATGTTCTGCTAGTACGGTTGGAGGGATGGCTGTAGTCAGTTGTGACTTGGACTTTACCATATCATTAATAATTTCACCCGAGGGCATCAGTTTACTTGGTAACGATTCTTTAGGAACCAATTTGTTTAACAGTTGTGTGTGGAAATAATGCGTCGAAGGTGTAGGAAGTTTGTCGAATCTTAGAGCACTTTCAGCCTCAGCCATTTCCTGCACTCTCCTAATGTTTTCCAACTCTTCATCTGTCAGCTGATTTTCGATGCTTTTTATACCTTTTGGTTCGGTGGAAATAGTCTTAGATTCTTTTGACGAATATTCCTTAATGTATGCATTACTTTGAAAACGATCAGGTTGTACCGTCTTTTTTATCTCGTGCGTCAGCCTTTCCTTCGTTGCCTCGTCACTTTGATCATCTTTTTGCGATCCTTCACTGCTGCACTCAGACTTGGACAATAGGTCACTGTCATTTTTATCGGGAAGCGCGGTTTTAATAACCAATGATGGCAACTCTCCGTAAGGAACTTCAAAAAAACGTGGTGTTTCTTTGCTTGCCTGAACGTTTTTCATAGTTGCGTTAGTCACTTGTTTGCTCCTTGACGCACTACTTAAAAAAGAGACTTTCAAAGTTTCGTTCTTCACAAAAGTCCCAGTGTCATTCCCGGGTGCTGAGGCTGTTTTCGAAGCAAGCGGCTGAGCGAAAATCGAAGAACGAATTTTTTGACCAACGTCTCCAGAAAATTTCTCTACTGAATGTTTCACGCTAGGCATAAAAACTGCATCAGTACTTGTCGGAAGATCTTCAGGTTTGTGGTCAGACGCTTTACTCTTGTGAAGCTTTTGAGGTCGCACGTTTTCCTTCAAATCACCACCTGTTGTTGTCGCAGTAATGCTTGGAAGCTCAGCATGGAAGAGGTTCGTTTTGAAATAATTTTTTCTTCCGAAGGAGGTTGGATCAAGGATTTTACCAAAACGTGAGACTGGGTTCTCTCTTATATCCCTTTTTAAAGGGAATATACTTTCCAAAACACTAGAAGTTCTCACTTGCTTATTTTTCAATGTTGAGTTTTCTTCTAGGCTGATTTCAGGAAGATTCAACTCGCTTGGTTCAGACCGTTTCTGGCTTTGTTCTGAGGTTGCAGAATTAGCAAAATCTGCTCTGACTTCCCCATGCGGATCTAAATTTCGAGCTGGATTTGAAGCGGCCATTAATTCGCCATCCATAATTTCAGCTAACTTTGCCATTTTTTTGAGATGCTCAAGCTCATCTTCGTTTAATTCTGACTGGATCGCAGCTGCAGAAGAAATGTCCACTTCCGACGGCTTGGTTTCATCCTCCTCCCGACGTGTAGACTCCGATGTTTCGTTAGAAATAACACAATGATCGCTGATTACACTTTTGCTTTCACTGGTATCATGATATTTATCATTTACCTTAGTACTTTTATCATTTGCAACCGATGTCAACCTCAGGTTTTGTTCAACATCGTCCAGTACAGAGTTTTCGGCCTTTTTTCTGATGACGAAAGGTTGTTCACTTTGCTTAGCTCTTGCAATAACCTGCTCTATGTGTTTTCTTTCAGAATCTTTCAGATCTGTAAAGTTGTCGAAGTTGTTGGGTTGTGAATCACTGAAAATAATTAGGGTTGTCGCTTTTTACAAATTAACAATGAAAATATTCTCCAAAAAGAAGATTTACTGGCCGAGAAGTGAGAGCTGCTGTGGAAGAATGCTATGAAAATAAAAGAAATCTCTCTTCCACTTAAAAATTCTTCACATTTTTCGATAAGCACAATTAAAAATACTAAGTCGGATCAGCCAACAACTGGACCATTCACATACCTATACACAGAGTTGAAAGACGGTTGGTTGCTGTTGCTCCTTTTCCTTTTAGCACTGCTAAGTACCTAGAAATTCCCAATGTCCAAATGTTACTTACAAGATACCTCAAATTCTGGGAATTATTTACTTTTTTTTTATACAGCAAGTACTGCAATTGGAAGACGAGAGTTGTCAAAAATAATGAGTAAGCAACGGAGGTTTACCTTGAAAATATGGTTTTTTTCGTTTTGCGAAAGTTTTTCCAACACGCTTTCGGGTAGGCTAATGTTCTCTTCCAAGTCATCGACATCGCTGGCGGAAGCACGCCGAAGAAGATGCATAAAACTAACGTTTGAATCATGTAAATGTCCTTGTCCGTTTGTTTTTGATGGCTTTTTACGGCCCTGACGGAAGATAAATGAATAAGTTGTTGGTGCGACTTCACTGCTACTTCTCTGGCGAATTGTCAGTTTTGAAACAGGTTCGCTGTTGCTGTAGCTGCGTACCCATGAAGCGTTTCCAACTGGGGAGATCCTGTTGTCCAACGAAGTTACAGCGCTAAAGCACCCGGATAATTTAATCATTACTGATGATGAAAAACAGTAAGTTGTATATA